TCATGGTTTATAGCTGTTACTTAGTGAAATCGTCATTTCTCTGGACATGATATTAAATGCCTCCAAATGACTGTCACAGCTTTGTTACACAAACGTTCAAGTTTGGATCTGAACGGAAATAAGCTGGCATGCAAAAAAGGCACACTCCTGTCTGGGTTTTTAATTTCCAAAAACACAACAACGTAGATATATGACATAAGACATAGTCAAAATACTTCTAAAATTATTGACGTTTGTTTTGGTTATTTGTTTAATCCCAAAACACGGGTGTGTACTTTCTTTATTGCGTCAGTATATGTTGGTGAATCTGCGAAGCGGGAGGTCTTAACAGTACTGGCTTATGCCTCATCTTCCTAGTTCCATTTATATGGATTACTGGAGAACAAAATCATTTTAATCAGAGCGATCCGATGTTTTCAAAATGAGTGTATAGAAGCGTGCGTTGAACAACGTGAAAAATCAACCTGGAGTAATTTTCAACAGTACCTATCCACTCATGCGGGCGAGGTAACGTAGTTGTTAGGCATTCTCTGATCACGCTGAAAACAGGGGTATGATTCCAAACATGGATATAATCTGTGAAGCTTATTACTGATGTCCCCTGTAATCCCTGGAATATTGCTACAAGCAGCATGAAACCAACTCACTATACACTCACAAGGTAGCAAAGTAGTTCCTTCGCTCACCACACAAGCGACTGGGTTCGAGTCTCTACGCCCTATTTGGTTGCTGGTTGCAGTAAACCGGCGTAAAACATTCCACACTCACTCGGGACGGTGGGGTAGCCTAGTGGTTAAAGCGTTCGCTCGTCAAGCTGACGACCCGGGTTCGATTCCCCACATGGGTACAATGTGTGAAGCCCATTTCTGGTGTCCCCGCCGTGATATTGCTAAAAGCGTCGTAAAACTAAACTCACTCACTCACTTCACACTCGAAGCATCTGGGTTCGAGTCTCTACGTCCCATATGGTTGCTGGCTGACGTAAACCGGCGTAAACATTCCACACCCACTCACAGAGTGAACCCGAAGCATCTACGACCCAGTACATCACATAGTTGTCAATTGACTACACATTAGACTATATTGATCCATGATTACGATGTCTTGAGGGAAGTGACCTCGTGGGTCACTTGTCTTTGTACATTCATCCTACTCTATAACTCTTAGGTACTAACTGACAGGCAGCTTAACGCAAACAATTACACGTGGGTCCGTTTTCTTTTTTCTAGCCGTTAATACAAATATAGTTACATCATAAAATATCAATTACGCCCAAGGTTTATGGCTTCATAGTTTCATAACGGCCAATCCCAACAGAGGAAGCCTTCATAAATCTACACGCTGTCAATTAACAGACATTACACGATTTGTATTTATCATCAACAAATGGTTATACACACGCACTTGCTCATTTAAAAATTTCGCTTATTCTCTTACAAGGCTTTTTATCCTCACTTGCTCATTTAAAAATTTCGCTTATTCTCTTACAAGGCTTTTTATTCGACCTCGATAGTCGGTTATCAAACAATTAAAACTCTAACATTGCTGTGAGGCTTACATAGATAAACCCACGAGGGACAGCAGGCTGCATAGTCTTTACAATCTACATCCAATTTTAAATTAACTTTTCCACTAAACAGGACTGGGTTTTTTCCATTGATAATATACTGAAAGGGGATAGTCAGGAGGGTAATTCTGTTTGAATGATAATCTTGTCCCAGACTAACAGATATGTTTAGTGTTCCACCCTGGGAATCCACACAACGGCCCGTTTACTCAAACTACTAGCCTTGCTCCAAGGCTGTACTGAATTCTAAGCCCATGCATATATAGTAATTCTATCCTTAAAAAAGACATGTCGAGATAAGTGGACAGTACATCTAAGTACCCCAATCTGTTATATATTTTCATTCAGAAATTATCATTTAAACCATTAATTATTACCTTAGTACCTACCTGTGCAAGTCTATCAAACTACATACGATGTACATAAGCGTATTTATACAGTCTCCATTATGGACGCTAAGACTTCGCACACACAATACTCTCAGACTTATCGTAAATCGGAACAGTCCAATCGATTCCACTGATTGAGACATATCGCCGCAGTATACAGGTCTGTATCGCGCCGTGTTCTTGTGTCAAACTATTATACCGTTAACTCCCACTGTTATCAACCATCTGACCAATCAGCCTCCGGCCGTCAGTTGTGACTGGTACTGAACCAACAAACCAAAGCAAATCCTGCCTAACTCCCTCTGGTGTCGCCGTCGGCTGTTTGGTACCGGCACAATCTACATCAAGTCGGTCGTGTAGACGTACCCCCAGCTAGACTCAACCCGCTCATGCGTAGTCAGAAATACAAATGGAAAGTCAAATATAATTAACACTGACTAAGGAAGGTAATCACATCCCGAGCAGAGTGACGCAATGAATTAATTTCCCATCATGGCCTTGTTGATGGCTGTGGAAATAGTTGACAGGACCAGTACGGCCAGTTGACAGGTCACTCATAGATCGGGAGATAGTACAAGTGTTCTGTCACTCTACTCTGTGAGGACATCGGAATGCATCTGGCACTAAGCTGTTGGAAGGAAATTTTAATGCACTAAAATTCATATATGCCCTTCAATATAGGACCACCATCGTAGAATTGGTCAATGTGACGATAATTGACATTATAATTAAATTAATATCTTTAATTAGCTTGTTTTTGTTTGTAGTTCAACGCCGCACTTCGCAATATTCCAGCTATATGGCGGCGGTATGTAAATAATCGAGTCTGGACCAGACAATCCAGTGATCAACAGCATGAGCATCGGTCTTACGCAATTGGGATACGATGACATGTGTCAACCAAGTCAGCGAGCCTGACCATCCAATCCCGTTAGTTGCCTCTTACAAGCATGGGTTACTGAAGATCAATTCTAATCCGGATCTTCACGGGTCACAGAAGTTGATTGGTATTTATAATAACCGCACGATACTGCGTGGATGACAACTGTTAGAACTATGATGTAATGTGACAAAGACGTTATAATCCATAAAGTACATTTCCTTTGTTAATATCAGTTAATGTTAATCAGTCTATTTATTAATAAATATATGTTTATGTTTTCAAAAGCTTCTTTTATTGGAACAACATTTGCAAAACAAATAATCTCAATTCTTCTGCCGTTTGTTGTATTTAAGTATAAACATGCCCTCAGTAATTTAAATGAGCGAAAATATGTTCTCTTTAATGGCTCCCTACATGCAATGCATTGCATGCATTGGCACGACTGACTTTATCCTTTGGAGAAAATACTACTTCCTTAAGCCGGCCCCAGAAGTCTGAATGCACAGTCACAGTCCCTGAACCGCATTATTTCCCCTTCCGCCCAGCCCTTTCCGCAATGTTAAAGTTTAAAACGAAGCAAGTCTAGATTCCCCCAGTTTCGGGTATCTGAATCTCCCATCTCAGTGGGGCTACTTTTCAATTTATAAGGGTTTTGTTTGTTTTTTAATTAAAATTTCATATATTTAAAGCCTTAGCGTTAGTCTATCTGAATGCCTGCAGAGGTTTACCCAGTTGATTAGGATGCGATCATAGTTCTAACAGTAAATGTGATATATCTGTAGTTTTGTATATATGGATAAAAATAAAATGGGTTTTGCCAACGGCATAACAATAAAGGTACAATAAAGGCGGTTCACTGTTTACTGTACCCGTCTTTCCAATAGAAACCATAGCTATAACACAACGCAAATAAAGGCTCATCAATAGTTTTTTTCCTGTGAAAAATGCTCCCCTCGCACTAAACAAAATCAATGCTATTTTGTGCATTTTATGTACCACAGGGCGAGTGATATTAAAACCGCTTTTGTTCTTTGTCGTATATAAGATACGCGCCAGTATGGCAGAACTGTATGTTCAATTAATTTTCAAATCCTCTCAAACGAAAAATCCAGAGAAAGCTGATTTACATTTAATATTTTCATCCATATAAACGTGTAACTGCATAGCGCATAGCGATCCCTGTCTGAGGAATACAGTAATCGACAGTACTGCTTTCAGCTTGCTAAGTGTGGTGTGAATGGGAAGGGAAATCGATTCAGGCTCACATAGGCCGCCGTAGAGCTGGTAAGCCTCACTTGGGCAACTATAAGAGCGAGCCAATCTCCCGTTATTTCGATACAACCCGCTACTCCTTATCCCCACAATCAGCAGGCTCAAACGCTTACTTCTTGTATTCAGTGAAGGGAAATTGGTATTGGACGAGTTACCTCCCTTGCGTAATATCCCCGGCAATAGAGCTCCCACTGGAACAAAATTATTGTTTCATTTAATGATATATTTATGGTAAACCGTTACATTTACATCAATTTATCGTTTTATTGTAAGAAATATAGACTACGTTGCCGATTCTGTGTAAGGACAGTAATTGCCTTAGTATAGATTTCTGCAATAAAGCCGTGATATGGTGTATACCGTTATACACTGGTAACTATTTCACTATATGTGTCAATAGTTGACAAAGCGTACGAATTTGTTGGTTATCCACGTCATAAGTCAAGTTATAACCGTCGCTAAATGGTGCCAGTCTTGATAGTATATTAGCACCCGTCGATCACTCGCAAATTGCAATGAACTTCAATATATAAATCGCTGGGCGGTATATACACGAGGTATTCAACACTTCCGACAATCTGTGTTTTTCTCTGCCTTCGTGTTGATTGGTCACATTGGTAGGAGGGGTATAGTATTTGACAGGTGCGGGCGCAATGATATGTAGAAGACAACTTTCAGTTTTGTCAGTATTTTTTTATGAATATCTATAAGTTATTACTAGATAGATATTAGACCCATACCAAGCACAGTTCGACTCATCATTTAATAATCACAGCTTTTTAGCCTATGCAACAGACGAAATACATGAGAACTATTTTCTTCCGCCGCGCTTGACGGGCTGTGCTTAGGCTGCGAGAGGCGGCTACTTTGAGATAGAGTGTGGGGTCGATCTCAAGGCAGGTCCACATGAGTTTGTTTAGCGTGTCTTGAGGAACTCGGTGCTAGAGTAGGGTAATGGTCTTACTCTGTTGGACATGTGGTCATTTTGGCTAAATTATACCGGGAAAATGTTACTTTTCACAATACTCCTAGCAACAGGTAAGTGAACCATTATGCATGTAAAAAATGTAATGTCATATTATTTAATTGTTATACGCCGGCGAGCCCTTTTATAGCTCGTCAACAGTTCCGTGTGTCAATGACACATGCGGATGTATGATAATATTGATTCAGAAAATACTTATGGTAAACCATACTTAAACAGTTTACCGCTGCCTCTTGACATTTAATTGCAAGAAACAATTACATTATAAGTAGCACTTGCAGTGATTCCTGGTTTTGTCTTCATTAAAAGGCGAAAGGTTTGTCATATTTTTACATCGGAAGTTTAGACCTCGTATATTATCAAATCTGAAAATGAATTTAAATTGCAAACATTGCGATTTAAATCTTACGTTGTCAAATTGGTAAGAAATGCATTTGTAATCAATTGACTTTGAGGCTGTAGCACAGTGACAGCCGGAATAAAGACAGCGCTAAGTACATTAACTGTTTGTCTAAATAAACATTAAAGGCATGTTTCCTAAGTATTTGCATATGGGCTTCTTTAAGTGTGTTGACTTGTTGCGATAAACTATCGCTCTGAGTCATGATAATCTCGTCATATTGTCATGAAGACTTGTGTCTGGAGAAGGTGATCTTGGACTGCATGTAAACATTGGTGTCGGGGTTTCTGTCCTACACGACAAACAAGGTACTTAGGTCATAACTTGTGGATCACTGGAATATCGAGTTTCTCAAACGCTCTGCTGAAAGACATGCTGTTTATGCGGACGCTAAGTCTCACGTACGTTATAAAAGTTTATGACAAGCTCGTCGCGTGGCTTGTTCTTTCATCTTTTTTTCTTCTCTTTACATAAATAATAGGCGTCATTACATTCGGTCTCTGTCTCGGGTGCGTGAAGTTTGCCCCCGTGGTGCTATCGACATCTCATAGACTACAGAAAATTTTACCAACGTGTGATTGAGGGTGGAAAATGTGCGATTTGGATTTTTTAGCCGAATTTGAACGGGAAGCACCGAGTCTGAGCACAGTGACACTGGTTAAACCAAGGTTTTTCTGCACTCCACATTCACAGGCCTTCCTAAAAGCGGGCACATCTTTCAACACCACGCTCATTTGCGCCGGCGCGCGCCTCTGTAGCATCAGTAATACGCTAACAGGTCTAGGACATCAGGGAAAGCTAGTCATCTTCCCTCAACCGAGATACAGTCTGCACCATCAACTCATAACATGACCGCAGTAATTCTCAATTTGAGTTAACACTAGACCCGTTAGACAAACAGATGTTGAATGCAACGTCTTGGTCGCCGAGCAGGGCTGTAACAGGGATCTGTAGGCTATACAAAACATATACACCACGGATACGGGTTTAATAACTGTATCGTTCCACAGGGGGAAATTGGCGTTTATCGTAGTAAAATATAAGTGGTACTCTGCTAGCGTAAGGGAAGTGTCTGTTATGTCGTAACGTCGAGGTATTATTCATGTTAAAGCCATAACAGTAAAAAAGAGGGGATAAACTCGGGGTTATTGCATGGGATGCAACTGTATTTACAATGAGTGCAATAACAGCTGGCCTCCAGCACAACGCTCTCTGCCAAACTTCCATTCAGACATTTTTACGGACAATTCAGCGTTTCTTCAAGATATTCGCATTTTTTCTTCGGAAGTTATTCCCAATTGCTAACAGCTAAATCGGGTGATAATTAATTCATTCTAGGGATGTAGCAAGTGATTAGAATCCCTCAGCCAGACGAAGGGGTGAATGACGAATCTTGCCCTAGCGACCAGTCGGGCACGTGCTGTGCGGTGTCATCACCTCCATAGACTTACGTCATCGTTACGACATCGACCATAACGCCCTTGTAATTACCTTTGATGATTGTAATTCGATCGATCCGGAAATTGCATTTCAATGACAGTTTCATCTTTGTTCGCCATGAATAACCCTCACCCTTCCATGGTCAACAATTTGTCCGTCAGGGTATTGAATTACGACAACAGTTAGAATTTTGGGCAAGAAAGATTTTCCATGGCCATAAATATCTCTTGTTGAGCCATAATTGTTTATTTTGCCACATTCGAACAGTGAAACCCAGACATTGGGAGCTCGATTGCACAGTGATAGGATAACTTGGCGAAAGATTTCTGAGAAAATAATACGATACCACGGTATGGCAATACATTTCCGTCTCCCCATGTCTCCCTTTAATTGCGAGATTACCGGCCCATGAAAATGGCAGTAGGTATTCTACTGGCTTTACTGAGCTATCTGTGTATACACAACCCAAAGACCCACCGTCCTGGCTAGTAGATGGATATTGACATTCCGACAACTAACATGTGATTGTAATTATCATCAGCTGTTGGAGCTGGTAGACGGCGAGGTGGGGATACGGGGGCATGATAGAGCGCAGGCCGGACACCCCTGGAAGCGTGTTTGTCCAACTGCCGACTGCTAAATATGCGAGAACAGCGGTCTGCAAGCCAGCTATTCCTCATCTTGTCAGTTTGGATACCGTGGAGGAGACTCTGCTTGTTTTGACGTAATAGTTTGGTTTAACTTGGGGCCCTGTTTCCAACAGCTGGGTAGCCGACTTCAAATAAATATTATTAATGGTTACTTATCCTAATGGTTCGAGACACAGGTTGGGTATGGTGATTAGAGAAACACTTGTGTTTAAGGTTAAAACTGTATGTGCCAGGTGGTAAATTAACATGTTTTGGAATCCACGCAATTGGATTTTAAGTGCTCAATTTTAGGTGATTGGTACAACTTTCATTCGGAGAAATAACCTTGAAGCACTGCAAGTAAATGTTTAACAAAGTATCATGACTGTATTTGATAGTTAAAGTGTGAAATATTCCTCTGATTATTGGATATATACACATATATTCTGTGGGTAAAGATGAAGTATTAGTATAAAGTATATATGAAGGTCCCTTGTAAAACAATTAATGGGTCAAGATTTCAGTTTTAACCAGGACTAGAACTCTTTTTTGTACCTGCTTTTAATTTATTTCCTGATCAATCAAAGAAAGTTTCTCAAGATAATTGACACTTTTTACACAAATCATAAACAAGAAACTACCCAGTTCTCACAACCTTTGACCAGTTTTATCTCTGTGTGCGACATGAGCTGCTTTGTTTTGTGGATTTAATTAACAGGCCTCATTTAAAAGCTTCTTGTTTGAAAGTTGAAACAGCACTTGTGTTTGAATTGATTAGACAGGAGGGGTTACACCTGATAATCTGAGTGCCAGATTAGATGCAGAGAGCGATAGCTTGTCAAGGAACTAGAGAGAGGCTAGTATTTTTAGACCCAACCTGCACTTCCGTCTTTTTTTTCCATCTACTTTTTGTGGATGTTTGCTTGTTTTTACAAACAGATCATTTGCCAGCTTGAGGCCTAACTCCGGTTGGGGTTACCGCGAACCCATCCATTAGCTCGTGGGGCCCTAGCAGTGTTCTCAAAGTCATCTTAAGTAACACAGAGTGTTTAGATGGTACTAAATACCTATATCTAGGGATCAGCAACACAGGCCATCTGTTCCTCAACAGCATGTGAAATGTTCAAAGTAACTTTCTAATATTTCATTGTAGATCACTTGAGGATTAAACAATCAGAACTAAGATGGAAGAACGCTTTGACAGACTCAGCGCCTGAAACCTATGATAAAGGAGAGGTGTTTAACGCCCTTGCAGGCATTGCTTTAAGGTGGCTCTTTGGCTATGGAATCAAAGCTTACGTGGTATTCATACATACATAGTAATGGTAGACTATTAATAAACAGTTTACCTTAAAGCTTTGTTTGAACGCGGGATCAAAGATAGCTCTCCTTTAGGCCTTTGTAAAATAATACAGTTTTCTCTAAGGGGTTGTTTGATGAAGGTAGGGCTGAAAATATTACCTTTGTTTTTGATAATATCTATTGCTTTTATTTCCCTGTTGTTTGTTTTTCTTCTTGGCTGAATATAATTAATCTTATCAGACCACACTAGAACGGACTTGGATCAAAGCAAGTATATAGGGGTAAATCAATCTTTTTGTAAACACACAACTGAAAAAATAATCATTTTGAAACAAACAAGATTTTGTGAAGAACTCAACTTTTGTACATGTGGTTTTGTTGATAATCATATGATGTATAATATGCAATATTTAAAAACTTTTAGGTGTTATTTAGTGCTGCTTAGAACAAGCTTATAATAGAAAATATTTTTTTATAAAACAGAAATGAAAAAATAATCCTTTGAAACATGCAAGATTTTTAAAAGTAGTAGTTTTATTTGTGGATTGCTTATTATAATTAAATATTGAATAGAATACTTGATCATTTACAGTTGTAGAGGTTATTTCATGCTGATTATGAGTATCGGTCTGTGTTATAGGATTTCAACTTTTTACAAGTGTTTCTCAGTTTCTCACTGTAGAACTATGCCTGGGAAAGTCATGGAAACTGTGAAAGAATTGGAGTTGGTTGTGTCTAGCTTTTCAAATGAAATCAGTTAGTTTGAGCTATGGTCCTGTTGACAGGAGCCAGATTACCATCATGGCCTGGTCCTGACAGTAACTGCCTCACCAGACCTCTATACTGTATAGTGACCTGGCAGAAAGGCTATATACTCTATACTGACCCAGCAGAAGGGCTGTACAGTCGTATACAATGTGTTTGTTGTCAGTCTCAAGTCTGCCCCAGTTTGTGAATGGAATTAGGTCAGAGTGGAACCAAAGACTTAGTCTCTAAGACAAGCGGTTGGAAGTAGTGTGCCTTGTATACAAATAAACATGTAGATCTGAAATGGCTAAAAAAAGAAGAGAAATTGGGTTAAGTGAAAGCAATAAGAGTCCATTATTGACAGCGATGGTGTGTTTTGTGAAAGCACACTCTCGTACATGTTGTTTAATTGTTGTTGATTGAAAACACATTACAACAGTCCCTTGTATTTGTTTATCTGTAAAAGGTTCATGTTTCCCTGATCAATCCCCCTAAAAAGTCACATCTTTTACGAATTGTTTTTGTTTCATTATCCATCGTATCTAGCTATTTTATCAGTGTGCCAAGAATCTATCTGAATAGAAGAGAGAAAATATCTTCCCATGTTCATAATAAAGCCGTGCTGTAAACAGTCAATTGTATGATTACGACAATATCAAAGGGATTTATGAATCATAGCGGATATAGATACCAGATGTTCATGAAATCCTCCCTGCTCAGTGGCCCCATCACAAATACATGCAAAGGCAAGGCAATTGTTCAGAATTGTGTCTCATCAATCCTGTTTTTGTGAGGCTGATTGTCTATTCTTATACATACATCTTGTGTGGTGTCTTTGAGACGTGGTGAGACATTCACAATCTTGATACATTAGGACTAATGTTTTCATACACGTATGGGGGCAAATGGGTTGGTCAGGGTGATCATTTGATGGCTTTTTTAGCAGGGTTTAATCTTTGTGGAAAATAGTTAAATCACATTCTCTCCCAACTGAGTTGATATTTGTTTCCACCGACACTAAGGATTGAGTGAATGAGATTGTGTGCAATATCACAGTAGAGGACCTCAGAAATGGACTTCATACATTGTACCCTTGTGAGGAACCGAACCAGGGTCTTAGGCAGTAAGAGAGAACACTTTACCCACCAGGCTTCCTCCCAACTGCCCTTCACAATAGGGAAATTAGCCGATATGACTGTGGCGCTATATTTTATCAGAAACATTACTAAGAATGACTGGACTTGCGTTTCTGAATCTATCAGACCATGAACTGGGGTTAGACACTGTTAGAACATTTCCTGGTATGACTATGGATATTTTATATTGAAACTTTTACTTTGCTGTGAAGATATCCTGTTGTATGTAGTGCTGTTTTTCTCTCTTTCAGTGGTCCTTGAATGCAATGGACAGGACACGTTTTACTTCAGCACCAAGCCCCGAGACTTGGACGTGGTGGAAGAGACCGAGGTGAAATTAATGTGTGATGTGTCCAATCGGCGACACATAATCTTTCAGTGGATAGAAAATGGCAAACAGATTGAAAACACTACAAGACGATTCCAAGAAGATAGTAATATGCGGATTTTACGTGTATCACGGGACGAGGACATTGGACCCTTTCAGTGCATAGCGACTAACGTGACAACAGGATTCTCCCTCCAGAGCCTGGAGGCACACCTCAATATTCAATGTAAGTACAATATACTTTTTTGTGTTGCCATCTCACACCCTGCTCTGTATTTACCGTTGTCACGCTCAATAAGGGCTTCAGTCAGCTTCGTCCTTTCTCACACATGGCATATTGTGGAGGAATATTTACTCCAGATCAAACATGTCGAGGAAGTTTAAAATCTGTGCTTGAAGTGGCCCTTGACCAAGAATTGAAATACTTGGCCTCATAAGATGCATTTCAGTACTAGTAATGCAAACAAGGTGTTTTTGTCTCCACATGGACGGGATGAGGTATATTCTGTATGTAACAAGATGGGATGTGTCACTATATGGACACAACTGTATGTACCTGCTACTGTCAGTCATTCATACAGAGTGGCTGTTTATACAGCGATCTAATATTGGAACATGGAGATAGGATAGGATATTTCTATGATCACATTATGGCTGACAAATAAGAATTTATGCTTGATTTCTTAACAAAGAATATCTTGAATGTAATAAAAACAAGTATCTTAAGTGCTAAAGTTTATTGACCTAGAAGGATATTGACTTTGTGGGATTGCTGTATGACAAATACTTGGCATCTCTGAAATGTTGTACAATAGTTACAGAATGCTGTGGGGTAGCCCAGTGGCTAGGTTGTTTGCTCATCACACCACAAACCTGAGTTCTTTTCTGGAAATAGTATTTGTGAATCTCAGTGGAAGTGTTCATGCCGAGATGTTGCTGGATGACTGCTAAGCATTGTGGGGACACAATGGCCCTAGTTGTCTAAGGTGCTGCATCTTACTGTGCAGACTTGCACCCTTAAAGCATGTGAAACCTGTGGTTGTGGGTTCGATCTTGGTTTGCCTCAGTTATGTTTCAAGGTTTATCATCATACCCATGCTTATGAGTTTCACCAAAGTGGTAGACGTCTGAGAACAGAATCCCTCCATGACTTCCTCCATCATTAGGCTGACACACCGTGTTATAACAGAAATTGTGTTCAAAGCGGCTCTAAACTCTCTCACTCACTCACTCACCAAACTCGACTCCCTCACTGTTCAGGCATCATAAAAACACATCCACTGTTTGAATATTGTATGTTTTATTTACATTGGGCAATTTAACTAGTGATTTTCTTGGGCACAGCTATGGCTAGAAATCAATACTGATATAAGCTCTAAAGCTGCATATGTTCTTGCAACAAGACTACAAGACACTGACAATACAAATATCGTCCTGTGTGGGTAGTTACTGCTTGCTAAGTGTTACGGAAGCAATATTTCTATCATTATTGAGTTGGCTCACTGGATTGAAAAGACAGAAATAGAAAATAAAAATAAATTTATTAAAATTTAATTTTCAATCTGTGGCTTTGATTGATTACAAAAATGTCAAGTTGCTATCACAGGATGCAATGAAACACTAGTTGATGGTACACAGAATGATATCTGGATACTGCAGACATATTTACTTGAGTAAGTAATTATGTATTTGAAACTCGTCATTTTATTTTTCAACTGACTTAGATCTTGTCAAGTCAAATATTTATTGATGTTCAGATACAGAGGCAGACCCTATTGGTGAAATCCAACTAGTCCTCAATTCATACTAGAAATTTGGAGCAGTCAGCTCGTCCCTGGAGATTTTCAGGTGTCTCAAACTCACTTATGAATGGCTGTGTCTATCCCTCAGATGTATAAATTTGTTTTAGATTTTATTTTAACCCATGAAAAAAGAACTTGAGAGCTTTTTTTTCTTTCAAACATAGAATAAAGCATGCCCTAAATATATCTGATAATGGTGGATCCGTGTCTGCTTTGCTGCAATACGAGCCTTTACAGTAGTAAACGTGCTTGATAGCCATCAAAGGTTTTACTACACATACCCAAGAACATGGCAGGCGTTATATCACATATGTGACTGAAATGTGTGACACATGCACTGGTTTTATGGCTCTCTCAGTCAGTGTGGTTAACTGGCCTGCCTACCGTGAATGAAGAGTCACATTGCCCAAATTGTTTATGAAGTGAGACCAATGATAATGGGGAGATCCAGCTAGGTTGTTACAAGGCGTAATGCCCTGATCACAGCCCAGGTCAGGAAGTTACACTGCTGGCCAATCATCTCCCACTGGTCTGTGAAAGTACCAGCAATATAAGTTAATATGTACCTGGACATTTTAGGAGGTATGCTGTATTAGATCAGCCTGGAGGGGATATGGTTAAATACCCTAGAATGGAAGGTGCCTGGGAACCAACAGCTATGTATGTTTAGAACAAGATTTTTGATTGTAGTAATGTTTCATGAACCAAATTAAGTAGAATAGTTTGACTAAATATTTCAATAAATAGGTGGATTCTAAAGTGGAAACTAAAATACTCTGCTCAAAATTTGCTTAAAAAAGAATAGTCACATTCCTTATAAATTCTTTAAATATGGCTGATCAAGTACACAAATGATATCTGGCGACTGCAAACATATTTGATTAAGGAGGACTATTTATATTCTAATAACTAATGTTGAGTAGATTATATAAAGATGTTCCTGATCTACCTGCTACTGATTTACAATATTTGTTTGACTGTAGTTTAACTCCACACTCAGTAACATTTCACCTATGTGATGGCTACTTTAAGCATATCAATATCAAAAGTGTTGTGGCGAGCTTTCTGTTAAAAAAAACCCTCTACAAAAAATGTTTAAACTAACATTTTTAATTTTAACTTTTTTGTAAATTTAACAAAATTTAGGATGAGTCTGCTTTAAATCCATGGCAGATTCAGAGGAGGGTTTGCTGATGCAGGCAGCTGTCTCTTTCAGACACCTTTGACTGTAAGTCACAATCCTGGATTCGCCTCTGTAACTACATCAGCTGGATTGTCCTAAGTGTCATCTAGAGATTCTGTAATGTGTCCCTGTAATGGAAAGTCTTGTCGGTCATGACCATGACACTTGTTACAAGCTTGGCTTAATTATCTACATGCCTGAAGTGTGTGCCCATGCTTTATGTATATTTGGACTGTGGACGGATGGCTTTACGTGACACAGCGAGGGTCACACTTCGCTGAACATGCCAAGAGGTGAAAGGGTGACTTGAGGAGAAATTTGATTAGGAAATACGATTTTGAGATGTGTGTACATAATTACCTGGAATTGAATATGTTGATAATGTGAACTTTAAGGTGTTAATTGCTAATTTAGTTTGGCTGTTTGGGAATGTTTGATCTATTTGTATATTGTTTATCGACACTAATTGTTTGGAAGATAGCTAATCAATATGTAATGAAATTGTATTGAATTTACCTGTGTTTTCAGTGTTAAATTTTGTCACTGGGACTTGTTAATCTGTATGTAAACATCAAATATTAACATCTGATATTTCTGAAAAGACTTGCAAAAGTCTCACCAAGTTCTGATTCTTTCATCCTGTTCAAAGGAAAGGAATTAGCGCTGTTGAGCTGTGGAAGTTCCTTGGAAGCAGAGATACTGGTTGCTATGTCTACCAGAACTCAAGTAGAGGTATACTTACATAGGTAAATATAGAGCTGTTATGGATATTAATATACAACATCCAAGAGGATAGTTCTTTTCTTATGTCAAATCAATCTGATAACACATATGAGAAATATAATTTGTTTATCATTGGGGGAATACGCTATTTATCAACTAGCAGGCCAGTGATAAGAAGGACACCCTGGGGAGGTGAGCTAAATGGTGATGGACTGGATGTGGAAGCAGTGCCTGATAGCTGGATGCTGCTGTAGACATACCCGATGATAGCCCAATAACAACAAATTGATGTAGTGGGGAGAGGGAGAGGCGTTCATCTTATGATCATCCATAAACAATATGTCAGCCTATCAGCAGGCAGCCATATTGGAAGAGTGTTGAATGCTGGGATAGGTTACCTGTGGGGCAACATGGGAATACAGACAGGAGGCTGATAATCGGACATGGAGCTATAGATAATTATTTTGACATTTTCGTTAGGTATCCAATGGCTTGAATCCACTGGTGAGGATTTCTGATGTTCGGAACAATTTCAAACATGTTGACACATTATAGTGTGATTGGTAATGATATGCTCTGTTATTACAATTCTGTAATTAGTCAGAATCGGAAATCAATTAAAAAGCTTTTATAACATATATGATTATCATCATGACAGTGTTTGTAGCTGTTGTGTTGGGTCTGATTTCGGCTTGGAGCATAAAATGTTTTTAAACAATTACTTCATGCAATAAATTCCTAAATGTTTGTTACTGATTGGTCAGAAAGTGATTGGTTGGAACAGGATGTAAGAAGCGGTTTTAACTAACAATGGCTGCAGAAGAGTGTTTATGATGCAGATTTATAGGTGTGGTAGAAATTGAGAAGGTTGAACTTCCTACGTTAATTGTACTGCTGATTGTATTTGACTTTGTATTTAGCAGCTCTGTGAGTGGGTTAATCCATCTTACCTCACTAATCCCTATCACACCACGCAAGCAGAAGGACGATCACAGATTAAACTTGTGTGGGCCCGAGGCAGGGACTACCATAGTGGTCATCACACGAAGCAGTGACATGGCTTCAGGCTGCCCAGAGTAGTTACAGACTAATAGATTGTTTAATTTGTCCGCGAGCATGTGAATGTAACTGAATGAGTCAAAGCGTAATAACATGGGGTACTAACAGAGTTCTCACACTGGTCATTTGGGTCCAGCCAGGCGTTAAACTCGGTCCTTTGATGTACAGTTTGTTTAATTATTATCAAGGTGATGCGTTCTTGAAGTATTACTCCTATTCAGATTCTCGATCAACATTGTTGTAAATATGTCGAAAACAGGATTAGAACACTTGTGAATCAGTTTATGTGTCACATCTTGGTAAATAGATATGTGTTAGCCAATTCAGCCTTCCATCGCTCTGCGTCTGCCGGGGGCTTCAAAGTGTTTCATCATTTAAGCAAATCAGGTGCAGTTTAAGGCCCTCGTGCCCATGGGATCAGCGTCTTGGGGTCTTTCTTCAAAATTCTGGACGAATGTA